ATAGCATGTCCAAGGTAGAACTCGATCCCAGTTTTACACTTGGGTAGTGTTACTTCAAATTGCACAGTTTGAGAAATCTAAAAATTTGTGATACAAGTCTGATGGAGGGTTCACTTAAAAACTGAATTCTGCAGAAGGGTGGTTTGCAGTTTAGAGCACTGTAAAAACAAAGTCTTCCTTTAAGCCCGAAATTTGTCTTTTTTCAAGGTGTAAACGGAAGTAGACCATGTTGGCTGAATGTCAGTAATGATTAGAAGTTTAAAAAGAATACTCCCCAATTGTTACAAGTAAGGTGTTAAATGAACTGAAATTCAACTGTAAGCTAGTAAGAAGGCTAAAATTTAGCCAAACCATCTAGCTAAATTTCTGCCTTCTTACAAGGTTACAGTTGAATTTCAGTTTATTTAACACCTTACTTGTATCAATTGGGGAGTCTTCCGTTTACACCTTGAAAAAAGACAAATTTCGAGCTTAAAGGCGGTGTCAAAGTCGATGCGATTTTTCCATTGAAGCTCAATGCAAAAATCCAATCGACTTTGACACCGCCTTAAAGAAAGACTTTGTTTTTACAGTGTATGTTCATATTCTTGAATTTTATTAAAATAAACATATGTCACATTTAATTTCTTATAACAAACAACAATTATTAAAACTTTCAGTGGAAATTTGTCTCTTTAAGATAAAGAATTAAATGCTAATGCACATATATATTAGGTGTAATTAAAATTATAAAATGTTTATAAACTTGTTTATAATCGAATTAAAATATTAACATACTAATAAAACTAAACTTTCTGTCTAAGATTCACCAATTATAAATATAATTTATGGACTTATATATTATTAATAAAACACGAGTCAAAAGTAAACCGGCGACGCGACGCGCTATTCAGACTTTTCACGTTTGCAAATTGCGTCCCTTGTGACGTCACAATCAACTTTTTCAGCCTCGCCAGACTTACAGTCAGCTGTTAGCGTACCTTATTAGAAGTTAATTTCATCCAACTTTTTATTAATACCATTGGATCTGAAATTAAGTCCGGTGTATTACAAATAAATTACAAACTGAGTTTTATTTAAGTAAGAGTACAACTAACTTTAATTTTCAGTTAGTTTTTATGATTAAATAAAGTTGATAGCTTAAGATAAGTCAAAAATTAAAACTAGCCACCATTAAATTTAAGACTTTGTTTTTACTGTGAGCCTTTGAGAATAATTTGATTAAGAAGTCTTGGCAAAAAAGAAAACATACATCATGAGCGATTGTAAAAACGAGAAAGAGTACCTGCGGGGCAATGCTTCGGCTAAATCCCTCACTGGTTCCGATCGTCAAGCGCCTAGCGTGAGGACGATGGCCAGTGGCCCACGGATGCAGGAGGGCAACAACGCGTTGGGAGTACCACAGATCATCGTGGAGAAGGTGGAGAGAAAAGGAAGCACGAGCAGCGTCACAAGTCAAGCCAGCTGCATTTCTGTCTTCAGTAATGCTTCTGCGATTGACATTGCTATCTGCAATGAAGATCGAGAGGAATGCATAACATTTCTCTATACGGGATGTGAAGGAGAAGCACGCAGCAGCGACCAGAAAAGATGAGAAGTTCTACTACGGATAAAAACCTGGTCAGAAGAAGCACGCAAAGACCGAAGGATGAGACGTGACCGTTTCAATGTATCAAAGCTAAGAAACGTTGTCTTGGAGAGTCTGAAGCGGAAAAAGTGGTCCTGAGTTTGTAAAGGACACAAACTCCTAAAAGTACACGGAAAAAAATAATTCGGAAATAGTTCCTGAATTCGTTCCGAAATTGAGGATATGAGCAAAAGTCGGTAATTATTATAGAGCTGTTATTTGGAAGAAATGTCGAACATTCAAAATAGATATTCAGGAATTATATGATAAGAACTCGGTATTTATGTGATAGTTTTTACGAAATGTAGCGGCTGAGTATTTCAGATAGTCTGGACGGTAGAACTTCCGATGAGTTCGGGAAAAATTCAGAGGGTCGCTTCATATATGAAGAAGCTCTTATAAGGGCTACAGAATAGTTCCGGAACAATTCCGTAGCAAAGAAAATTAAAAAAAAGAAGTTGTGTATACGCGTATATACTTGATCGACATTCGTCAAGCAAGGCGAACTGTGATTGGTTGAGGAGGATACATACATACATACATACATACATACATAATACACTTATAGCTACCTACATATATTCTAACGCACACATAATTTATACACAAATAAACGCAAATACACGACGCATTGAATCGCACGCTGGTTGTAGGGACCTGGGAAGTCTCTTATATACTAGACTTTACTTTTATTCAGCGCTTGTGAGAAACGGGGTCGGCACATCTTTTCTTTTGATGAAGTTCGGGAATTATTATGAAATTTAAACTGGAGTTCTCCTTGATTAGACGCTTGTAAATACTATTTTAGAAGAAATATAATTTCTACGACAAAATTTCGATAATATTATAGACCAGTCCTGTATTTCTCCAGGAATTTATTTACAATGCTGATTTTGAAAGTCTCACAAAAACCGTTTCGTAATTAGTTCGGAACGATTCTGAAATACTTACATTGAATTTCTAAAAATTTCTGGAACTTTGCACAAATCCTCAATTATGGAACAAATTCAGGAATTCTTACAGAATTTATTTTTTCCGTGTACTGAAGGCAAGGGTACCAAATCGGCACAAAAGTCAAATTCAGTCAAGGAAAGAAGACAGCCACAACAAAGAAAACAACAAGGATCGTCAAAGTGGCTGAAGGAACATCATTCGCCAACGTGCTGAAGAAGGTTCGTGAAGAGGCTGACCTGGAGGCCAGTCAGACAAGGGTTGTGGGAGCTTTACCCACTAAAAAGGAAGACCTCCTTATCCTACGTTGGAAATCCGCGATATGGATGCCCTTACAGAAAAAGAAAACGTACTGGGTGTCCTGGAGAAAATTTCTACGGTACTCTTTTATTGAGTTTAGCAAGGGTGGAAAGTCTATTTCTAAATGAAATCTAAGGTATACAATATCCATCTGTAAAAAGCATAATTTTTTAATTTGCGGTGATATTTTTAAAGTCGTCATTCGAAAGCAGAATCTGCTTTTTCTAAAGCCAAAATGAGTGGATGGTAGCTGCAGATTATGTTCTAAGTGACAACTAAGTCTCAAGTGAATCAATTTTTCCATAACTTTGAACAAACAAGAAGCTAGAAAGTTTGGCTTGAATTTTCCAGGTGTCGATTTCAGGATGAAAAGAATAAAAAATCCATTCCAAAACGTTGGAAATGAAGATGTATTTCAGATTATGCTGTAAATATCTAGTAATTAAGTTCTTGTATTTAAAGGGAAGTGATGAATATTATTATAGCTTTTCTCGAGACCTGGAGAAGATTTAATTTTTAACAAAAAATGCGATATCTAGTTCTTTTTGAGAAAATGGTCTTTCAACGAATTGATTTGTTCGAAAGTTTTAAGGAAACCAAATTGCGACATTCAAGTTTAGCTTCAGCTTCATTGGAAGAAATTGAATTAATTAAGGACATTAGAGTCGATAAGATGTGGGTGATAAGTTGAATTGAGTCAGACAATTTATTAGATGAATTGGAGTTCCACTCAGTTGGACCGAGAAACTATGTCGTTTTGTTATGAAGATCAAATCCGTTAGGAAGAGATATCTCTGATCTTCCATTGTAAAAAATTTCTCCAATTGACGAAGTAGTTGATTTGTTCTGCATTGGTTGAGGATTTTTTTAGCATTGCGAGCAGGGAGTTTTGGTGAAGCACAGAAATGAAAGATCATTTTTCAATGCTTAACCAATTTTAAACTGTTCATCTGATCAACCTAATAATTTTTTTAAATATAGTTTAAACTCTGTGAAATAAGTCTGTATACTTAAAAATTCTTCTAAAAAATATTAAACAATAGATAAAAAGCTTCTCGTAAAAAATCGTGTGGTCAGAATGACCCCATGTGTTCTCCGAGGGTTAAAAGGGCGAGAAGGAGTAGAAACCTCATAAGTGACTGCAGGATTCTGAAAATTTCTCAAATTCGGAAAATTTGAGAATAGAAGTTAAAGGATGCAAGTATAGAGTTCTGATTTAAAGTCGAGTTCTTCATTCGTAATTAGAAATTTTTTAATTATCTCTAGATAAAATTTACTCAAAACAATCAAAATAAATTAATTATATAAAAATGACCAGAAGCAATAAGTTATAAATCAAAGAAAAAGAATTTTAAATTACAAGTAGGTGGGAAAAATTCATTAGACAAGAAACTGATAAAACAATACGCAATATTATTAAACCCTTAAACTGAAAGTATGACGTAATAAATAACTAGTTGAACAAATTTCACGAACAAATACTTTTTTCAAAGAATTCCAAGATTTACTTTTACATTTCAAGAAAAATTCTAGGAAGCATGTCTAATCTGACATGCATATGAATAGATCAACAATATGAATTTAATATACCTAACAATTTTTTAAATGGTTGTTTTAACCAAAATTATGTCAGTAATCAAGAAAATTTTTTTTTAAATGTATTATATAATTGCTAATTAATTAGTTAATTAATATAATTGGTAGATAAATACGCTATTTTATATTGTACAAGTAGATAGAAAAAAGTACATTATTTGTAGACTCATGCAAAAATTCTTTAATTCAATAACTTGAATAAATTATATAAAAAAATTAGCAATATCGTTCATGTTACATTTTTCATTTACTGTGTAGAACCAAAGAACGTATTTTTTACAAAACTGTACCATTAAAAAAACATTGGCATACTATAACTTTCACTCAAAAGCTAAAAGGCAAAATGATACATCATATTAGATGGTTCACGTTGACTATTTTGAAAATCTATAGAATACTCTTGAATAATTCAAACACACAGGTTGTTTACTCTTTAAGGAATCTTAACGCAAAAATACAAGGTAATAATAAACAGAGATTAAAAAATAGAGAAGAAATGTAAATACAGGCAAACCGTAATTTGTACCTCAAGAGCGGGCGCTTTTGCCTGAAACACAAATGGCATTCCTGAAAAAAGACCACCTACTCCGAAGTCTCAATTTACTATTTTTTATCAAGTTGATCAACAATTTTATGGTTTCTATATATTTTCTTTATATTAAGTTACATTAAGTGTAATCAGCCTAATATAATTATAAATCTTTTTTCTTTTGTTCTCTCATTTTATTTATTTTTTCAAATATAACCACAGGCACAAAAATTGCGCTTTTAGATAGCAGACAACAAAGAGTGAAGCCATTTTTGTTGACCGTATGAAAATGGCGGCCATTTAAATACAAGAGTGAAACAAGTAAATGACTTTTATTCCATCTTGTCTGTTATCTGAAATCGGCACTTTTGTGCCTTGGGAATAAAAAGTATCGTAAGTAAGACGTGGCCAAAGCATCCAAATAATTGTTTACATTGACGTTTGCTAGCACAAGCTCACGTCTCAGGCTGCAAACGCCAACGCAAGTTATGGCTGCTCTTGTCCCCTTGATGCTTAATATACTATTCTTGCCCAAAACGTCCGTTCCTTTGCCTCATACTACGGAATGTATTTTACATTTTACTTAATTTAATAACAATTAACTGTTTAGTACTTGATCGTCATAATGTTAATTTGTTGGTGACTTTTTTTGTGAAATATTAATTGATAGTTATTTAGTCATTTGTGGAGACATCTTTATAAATAAGATCAGACTTTTGTCTGTACATTGCATAGAATTTGAAAATTCATGTTTAGTTTTTCTATTCGAGTAGTAAGAATTCAAAAAATGACAATAAAAAATTATGTACACGGAGAAAAATATAAAGTAACTTTTACTACTTTTATAGTCAAAAATTTCCGGTAAAGCATTTCTGGTAATTTTAAATACTTTTGGAGTAAATTTTGCTACGTTCGAAGTATATATTTGTAATAATTAGTAAAATTTACTTCGAACGTAGCAAAATTTACTCCAATAGTAGTAAAAATTACCAGAAATGCTTTACCGGAAATTTTTTACTATAAAAGTATAGTAAAAGTTACTTTATATTTTTCTCCGTGTATGTATGTATGTGTGTGTATGTATATACATACATATGTAGACGTCCACATGAAAAGGGCCCATATTGTCGGTTCTAGTTTTCGAGATAATCGCAATTTAGTAATTTTGAAGCAAAATCTTAATTTTTTTTTTATTATCAATCTACATGTTTTGACAAGTCGAATCATGCGGTTTTCATTAATTTATCGATAATTTAACTGTTTGATTTTATTGGTTCTTTAGAAAAATGAAAAGGGCCCATTTTGTCGGTCATTTGCAAAAGTAATCCGTATTTTAAAAATGGAGGTGTGGAAAAATTTAAAACCTCTTGATTTTTCATCTTTAAGGTGTCCTGGACTACAAACAATTGAGTGCTTGGATACAACAAGGGGACGTACGCTCGGCGAGCCGTTTTAAAGTCAGTCAAAGGTACCGTAAAGTGTAAAAAATGAAAATTCAAAATTTTGAATTTTGAAAACTGCCATCTTATAGGAAATAAAAATGCGCATCTTTTTTTTCTTTGAAATTTCTTTGAATAATTAATATTTTTATATGATAATGGAAAAAATGTGATTAATTTTCAATGTTAAATTTCATTGAATTTTAAAATATAAATCGTCGTATCTCCGACAAAAATGAATGAATTCTTTTGATTTTTGGTATACAAATGCATTTGGACCTATAGAAGACGACAATATCACGAAAATGTTAAAAGCAATTAATTGTTTATTGATTTTTAATTGTTAATACTGACCGGTCAAAAATAATTTTTTCTTATCTTTGGCTGCAAAAAGTATGCGGGGAACTTTAAAATTCAAACAACTTCCAGTGAGACATTTGTTTATTACGATGTGAAGAAGTTTTCTGTAAAATTGCAGAAAGATTAGTTTTATATTTACAGAAATACAATAGTTTTAAGAAAAATGCTCGCGCCGCCAACGATCCCTACCGCACAGATTTTAAGGTTAGTTGCACGGTAAAGTTTTATTTATGTATAAATATATGTGTGTAATATTTGCATTGAATTATTTATTAACTATTACATACTATACAACATAGGTATACACTTTTTTAATAATTTTGTAAAATATTATGTGTATGAATATAAATATTACAAATAATTCTAGCAGTATTTAATTAAATTAAGATTAATATCTGTGTTAAAAGAAATGTTTTTATTTTAAACATTATTAAATTTATAAAACGTTTTTAGATGTTAATATTATTGTTTAAAAACTAGGAAAAATTTTTATTTTAAACAATTTTTGACAATTGTGATATTTTGAACTATTATATTTTAATAGATATTATTAGATTATACTAGATTCAACATAGTATGTAATTAAAAAGGACATTAAGTGTTGTTGCAGCATATTGAGTAATAGTTTTAATACATTATAGAGTCGATAAAAATTGAGTTGTAAATAAACGATATACTAACAAAAATAAATATCAGAAATAATCTTAATTTAATTAAATATTGCTAGAAATATTACACACATATATTTATACATAAATAAAACTTTACCGTGCAACTAACCTTAAAATCTGTGCGGTAGGGATCGTTGGCGGCGCGAGCATTTTTCTTAAAACTATTGTATTTCTGTAAATATAAAACTAATCTTTCTGCAATTTTACAGAAAACTTCTTCACATCGTAATAAACAAATGTCTCACTGGAAGTTGTTTGAATTTTAAAGTTCCCCGCATACTTTTTGCAGCCAAAGATAAGAAAAAATTATTTTTGACCGGTCAGTATTAACAATTAAAAATCAATAAACAATTAATTGCTTTTAACATTTTCGTGATATTGTCGTCTTCTATAGGTCCAAATGCATATTTGTATACCAAAAATCAAAAGAATTCATTCATTTTTGTCGGAGATACGACGATTTATATTTTAAAATTCAATGAAATTTAACATTGAAAATTAATCACATTTTTTCCATTATCATATAAAAATATTAATTATTCAAAGAAATTTCAAAGAAAAAAAAGATGCGCATTTTTATTTCCTATAAGATGGCAGTTTTCAAAATTCAAAATTTTGAATTTTCATTTTTTACACTTTACGGTACCTTTGACTGACTTTAAAGCGGCTCGCCGAGCGTACGTCCCCTTGTTGTATCCAAGCACTCAATTCTTATCTGAATAACTTCCCAGAAGAACCAGAGATATTGATGTTAGAGTCTTTTTTTTGTAATTGTCGAAATGAAAATTTGGATATTGCGTCAATTTTTTCATAATAGAGACTGTCAAAAAATTTTAAATAAGTTCAATATCTATTCTTTTTCTTCAAATGACACAATAAAATTGTACCTAATCATTAATCTTGTAAAAAATGGTATTTTAATAGAAAAATTCTCCTTTTTAGAAAAGGGCCCACATTGTCGATTTTTAGTACTTAAGTACGAAATTTTTGAAAATTAAGAGGGGGGATGGTTTTAAAAATTTAAAACCTGTTGGTTTTTTATCTTCAAGGAGCTCTGAACTGTAAACAATTCTTATCTGAATTACTTCCAAGAAGTTTTTGGCGTTCTAAACTTTGAAATTCCGTAACTCAGCGAATTTTTAACCAAAAAAGTTGTAAGACCACTCAAAATTTTCCAAATTTTGACAGGAATACGCCCATATAGATAACTCCAATAGTGCCAAAATGGGTCCTTTACATGTGGACGTCCACATATATGTATGTCTGTCCGCAATATTTTGTCCGGGATAAACATAAAACGTGACGCCACCTATGAGGTTCATTTTTGTTGCGTTTCAAATTGAGTAGCCTACTGAAAAAACCTAGGTTTTTTCAGTTTATGGAAGCTATTAATTAGCTTTTATAGCATCAATCTTTTCAGAAAATTATGTAATTTCAAAAAATTATGAAGCGAAAAAAAATTATTTAGATAGAAAAAGAAAAAATATAAAATTTTAGGTACCTAATTAATTTTTTTTTTAATTTGGATCCTTTTTTCTATTTTACTCTTTTAGTAATGTTCGTTTTTATTTTATCTTTAATTTAAAACAAAATCATTGTGGGAACTTTATTAAATCTTAAGATATCATCCTTTTAATTATAAACACTGTGTAACACCTATTCATCATTTTTCTTTATATTAAGACAGACAGGTAGGTTATTATCTTTTGTTGATAGTTCTTTATGTTCAAATCTCATTTCTATTTTTAAACGGATAAAACTTTTGACAAAAACATGTTTACCCTAATTACCACATGGTTTTGTATTTTTATACTTTCCAAACATTCCGAATTGCCTCCATCCTTCAAGAAATAAACCTCTAAAAGGACGATATCTTAAGATCTAATAAAGTCTCTAGGATGATCATTGTTTTAAATTAAAGATAAAATAAAGACGAACATTATTAGAAAAGAAAAGACGAAAATAAGGGTAGAAATTGAAAAAAACTATTTCTTTTTCTATCTAAATACAGTGGACTCCGCTTATAACGAGTCCGGATATAACGAGAAGTTGGTTATAACGAACAAATTTTCGTCACTTGTTTGGTACTTTCAATGTTAATTAAACGTATACGTTTAACTTCGCTTATAGCGAACTTTGGCTATAACGAACAAATTTCAACGGTCCACTGTAATAATTTTTTATTTCCTCTCCATGATTTTCTAAATATACGAAATTTTCTGAAAAAATTTGTGCGCGATTCATCAAAATCAGTTAAAAATTGACCGAGATATAAAGAAGGAAGAATATTTAGCACCAAAATTTAAAGTAGTGTAACTCCTACAATTTGATACTTTGAAAATTCCTTCTGTAGATTAATTTATCTCATATTATACTATATAATTTCACAAAGTTTTATTATAATCTGGGAACCAATTGCTACGAAAAGATAGTATTAGTGTCTAAAATTAAGATCCTTTAGGAGTTTTAAAAGTTACTACCAAACAATCTTAAAATCAGATACAGTGAAGGACTCACAGGGTCTTAACTAGTTGTAAAACGTTTTACA